CCCGCCCCCCAATATTAATAACTAACTTTTTGATTTAGGATGGGGTTATACGTCTTATGGCGGCCAAAAAGCTGCAGCCCTACAGCAGGTAATGTTGCCTGTTGCAAGCTACAAGAACTGCGAAAGAGGGAATTCTTGGTTCCATAACATCGATAATACAACGATGATTTGTGCAGGGTTTGGAGGAAACAGTACCAAATCTGGCTGCAATGGTGACAGTGGTGGCCCTCTTGTTTGTGAACAAGGTAAGAGTTAGTGAGCGTTGAGAGAATGGACCAAATCCACTTGGGCGTAATGTTTTCCCATTTCATTCCACGTGTCATTCCCTAGAGTATCATTTCTTTGTTTAACGTTTGCACATGAGAAGACACACCAATATGTATACAACTAAAACAAAGCATCTTATTCTCAAGGGGATGACACGTGGTGTGAAATGGGTAAAACATTACGCCCGGGCCGAAGGAGTCTATTTAATTTTTTTTTTTTTTTTTTTGCCATGCGGCAGAGCGTTCCCGAATGGAAGTTTGGCTTAATTGATTTGTTATGAAGATGATATATCAACACATGGCTGTTTGATGCAAATGGCCTATTAACGCAAAAAAAACCCCTGCAAAATGAGTTATTTCAAACGCTCTATTATCGTTCTTGTTGATATTTTAAAGATGGCAGATGGGTTGTCCATGGTGCAGTCAGTTGGGGAGACTTGAAGTGCAGGGCTAAGAGTACATACGCTGTCTTCACCAGGATAAGTTCATTCATCAACTGGATCAACCAAAAAATGTCCTCCAGGTATCTCCCTGCATACCAAATGACTCAAATGACAAGGTAGGAAACCTTCAATGTTATTGAATTTTTTCGATACCCTTATCTATGTCACGGTATGGCTGACTCACAGATCGAACCCTGAAACAACCTAGGGGCTAATCAAAATCAGGTCATGGCTAACTCATAGATCAAACCCTGAAACAACCTAGGGACTAATCAAAGTCAGGTCATGGCTAACTCACAGATCGAACCCTGAAACAACCTAGGGGCTAATCAAAGTCAGGTCATGGCCAACTCACAGATCAAACCCTGAAACAACCTCTAGGCTGATCTTAGTCAGGGCACGGCTAACTCACAGATCAAACCCTGAAACAACCATCAGGGCTAGTGTAAGTCATGGCACAGCTAATTAAATCAAGGGAGAGACCTAACAAATTCATCACACGTGATACCAAGTACAGGAATTCGAACCCGAGGCAACAGAGGTGAGTGTCGAGTTACCCTGAGATCAAAGTCTTTCCACCCCTGACCTAAAGTCAGAACAGAAGGCTGCAAGCAGGATAAAGTCGAGTGTACTACCGCTACACAGCTTTCAGATTCCCTACAGCAACGTGTATTACCACCTAGACCCAGCTTAAATAAATGTTGACTGCTTTATACGTTATTTTCCCCCCAGGTAGATGTTCCGATAACCACAGATATTGTCCCAAATGGAAGAAAAATGGTGACTGTAAGAAAGGGTTTTACCGAAGAATGTTGAAAAAATACTGCCCCTTAACATGTGGCCATTGTTAGAAACCTTTGCATTATGAAGTATAGTCATACATTGTATAATTTTAGACTTGAATAAAGAGTTTCGTGCGCTGTGAACCATATCATCCCCATCACCACCACCACCACCATCACCACCACCACCGACAACAACAACAACAACAACATAACAACATTTCGAAACAAACAAAGAGACTAGCGTAGATTTAGTTGCACTTGAACCTTCATTGCTAACAATATTTTGCAAGTAATGTAACTAAGAAATAAGTGACAGCTAAATTATAATTACCAAAGGGTTAAAGACCCATTGCCACTTACCGTGATACATCACAATTTGTTTACATTTTGAATCGTGTCACAACCGAAAAAACAATTCCAACATTTTGAATAAACTCTTAAAAGAATGTAAAAGAATCATTTTTGTGCCTTAGTGCTATGTCGGAAAAGGATTTGATATGAAGTTATTATTCAATATATGAATCTTTGAATTTCATGGACCACGAAATTTATCTGTGACCGCGGTGCATCACGGTAAGTGGCAATGGGTCTTTAACTTGGTTATCGATAAAAGATGAAATAAACAAACCATATTAGGCAATGCACTATTTTATACTGTTTTTCGGTGCAAAATATGACTTATCAATAGCTTGACAATAGCAAATTATTAGGTCATGTAAAATACGCTTGATCAAGCTTCATTTCGGATACTCCGAGGTGCAGAAGAGGCCGCTTATCTGAATTTAGTCCAGCTGATCTGAAATATTGACGTAGAACTGGGTCTCCATAATTAAACAGGAATTTGGCATCCATAGACTTCGGCTCTCATTGAAATATGGTCATACCATTCTCGGACAACAAATCTGATGTACTGGGTTTTTATCTTCTCGGGAAGCCTGTTGGTTACGATCGTTGAAATGTCAGTGTTCGCCTGAAAGTTCTAATCAAAAGCAATTTGGTTATTAGCAAATTACAGCAGATCAGTGATGCTCACTGTGTGATGTCTTGGTTTTTCCAGTGATTCGAGGATTTTTTTTATCCGCGGGTTCTCCGGTTTTCCTCCATTCGTAATACCTACACATTTTAAAAATCCCACGAAATTCAATTCGAGAGCTTTGTATTGCCCCGACTTATATCAGCCGAGAGGTTGCTAGAAATTGTTTCAGTTTGTCAATATATAAATAACAATGAAACAGGTAGTTTCAGAGTTCGATCTGTCCAGAATAGACTGCCAAACTGGCGGCCAAAAATTTTGAAATGAGTTAAATTTTTAAAAAAAATACCAGCACTGGAAAGAGCACCTTTACTTTATTTAAACCCTACAAAGATTCATCATATCAGGTGTTATATCGGCCGAAATGAAACTTAAGTTGAAACTTGACAAATTTACAAACGTTTGCATGTCTTTGGGTATACGTTCGATCTGTGAATTAGCCATGCCTCGACTAATTAGACAGTCCAAAGGTTGTTTCAGGCTTCAATATCTGAATCAGCCGTCCCTGATCATGACTTAGATGGCTTTTTTTCAGAGTTCGATCTGTGAACTAGCTGTGCCCTGACTTAGATCAGCTAGATGGTTTTTTCAGGGTTTGATCTGGGAGTTAGCCTTGCCCTGATTTAGTTCAACCCAGAGGTTATTTCAGGATTCGACCAATAAAATTGTCGTTCGAGCAGTGAAAGTACAGACTTATATCCTCTTCCCCCGCCCCTCGATAATTTTTAAATCGAGAGGTGGATAGGTTTGTTCGTTTGGTGGTTGTCTGTGAGGGCTGCATTCATTTATTGAGCGGCTGATTCACAAACAGACAGGTGTTGGTGTTGGTTGTTCCATACTGAGGTTACTCACTGACCAGTGAGTGTGAAAACTTATGTTTCAACTCCCCTTTACAGTGTTTGCTACTTTGTAATCCACAAACGAGTTGTCGCTGTTTTTATAAGCCAGGCTGTATTTTCTCACATACTGTTTATAACCATATGGCCTCCCTTGTGTTGCTACCATAGTAATGTATACCACGTGACCCAAGTCCACCTGTAAGTACTCTCCTGCAGTATTAGACCCTGCTGACCAACACCCAGCATCACCAGATGTGGGGTAGTTATTGAGTCGTCCTCTCCAAGCCTCGTGTCCGGGATCCCACGTAGAAGAAGCAGTTATCGCTGAGTTTGGGACCTTCCTTGAATCAACTCCCATTCCAAATGCAAAAGCACAATCTAAGTTAGATGAAAAAGAATACGAACTGTTGGAGATGAGAATATACTTAGCGCAAAATTATTTTGAAAAAAAACAAAACAAACAAACAAACCTAGACAAAAAATACTCACAAAAATAAACAAACACAAGCGACGCGGACAACGGCAATGAAAAAGCTAAGTTGTTCATAAAATGAGTTTGATAATTCATTTCTTTGAATTATAGCAAAGGCTGACCTTGTACAATAATCATTATAATGATGGCATGTTGTAGAACCTGGACTGGACTGGAATGGACTGGACTGACAAAACTTGGACTGACTAAAGCTGAACTAATAAAATCTGGACTGACAAAAGCTGGACTAATATAAGCTAGACTGATAAAAGCTGTACTAACAAAACCTGCACTGACAAGGTTTTATCAGTCCTGGTTTTATCAGTCCAAGTTTTGTCCGTCCAGGTTTTGTCAGTCCAGGTTTTGTCAGTCCTGGTTTTGTCAGTCCAGGTTTTGTCAGTCCTGGTTTTGTCAGTCCAGGTTTTGTCCGTCCTGGTTTTGTCCGTTTAGGTTTTATCAGTTCAGGTTTTATCAGTCCAGGTTTTATCAGTCCAGGTTTTATCAGTCCAGGTTTTATCAGTCCAGGTTTTATCAGTCCAGGTTTTATCAGTCCAGGTT